TTATTTTTTTTTTATCAAATAACTTGGACCACCCTAGAATTTAACACTAAATGTGGATGCCCCCTTATTATTAAAAACCAATAATTCAAATAACCTACAGCCAACAAAATAAATTAAAAACCAACAAGTAGCATTAATCCATAACCAACCGTAACTATGGTCAACATTGCTAGCACAGATCCGGGAACACCAGATTTTACGAAATCCATTACACTAAGGTATCGTAATCCCATCTCATCTTCCATCATTATTGCATTCATATTCGGAAAACCGGATATCGGCAGTCCCATAGCTATAGAACACACTAATGCAGACCCCTATATTAAAACTGAAAATTAACAAACTGATATTAAAACAATAGTGCTAAATCACACCAGTGGTCAAAACACTACATATATTTTTGCAAGAATTTTACTATTAAAGTTAGAAAATATTGAGGGCCTTGGATATTTTTACTTGGTGTGTTAAACACTAATTATTTGGCTAGTTTTTAAGATATAATAATTTTGCTGTCGAAGATCACTGGTGTGATTAAGTAAGAAAATTCACAATATAATATATTATTCAGATCAAAATTCACAAACCATGACAAGTAAATTTCTATGTGCGCCACCCAACTTATCCCCAACTTCAGCGACAATAGGCAAAATAATCAATGCACCGACGGTATGGCTAATAAATGTAGCTACAACCAAAACCAACAGAGCAAATACCACAAACACTTGCCATACATCCAAATCACTAGTCATCGATTGAAAAGTTTTAGCAATAACATGTAAAAGCCCTGAATCATGTACAGCACTACCAAGTGCTATACCACCCATTGCAAGTATAATAACTGTCCACAGAAAATTGTTGAAATCTTCCTTAGTTAAAATACCTGTACCAAAGAATAGAATCATTGGTACAACAGCTATAACTCCCATATCTCCAAAGAAAAATTCCAGTTGCTTTTCAATGCACCACAATAAAATTGTTATAATAGTGACCACAATAACAAATATTTGAGTTCCAGTCCAAGGATCTTTGGTTGATCGAATTGGGTGAATGGTTAGTGAATCACTATGGGGTTGATAATTCCAAAGTAATAAAAGCCAAATTAAAATATCCACAATTATACATAATGGAATTACTATGAAGAACCATTGAATCCATGTAGGAGAAGGATCCATATTTTGAATTGCTACTATATTTTGTGGTGATGATATGGGAGATGCCATGCCACCAATGTTTGATGCCAAAGCAATTCCTAAAATTAAGCATCGTCCAAATGAGCTATCTGGAGGTAAGCTTCGAAGAATTGGCTAACATGTAAAAAATTAACTGGTCATTGCATAGAATAAACGCATTGCAATAATAATAATAATAATAATATTAACAATAATAACAATAATAATAATAATAATAATAATAATAATATACTTGAATTAGTGAAAGACACAAAACTGGCGCAGCAACATTACTTATCCACATGCTTGCGAAAGTTGCAACAAACATATTATATAGAAGAACAAAACTCGGGTTTGTTCCGGCTTTCGACAACACAATTGTCGCCATCATTTTGGCAATATGATATTTACTTAATGCGCCAGCAATAGCAAAGCCACCCAAAAGTAGCATTATAACCGGTGAAAACATAGTAGAAAAAATAAGTTTCGTAGCTTCACGTGCATCAAGTCGCTCATGTGGAGTTTCATGTGATCGTAATACGCGTAAACATACGACCAATAGTGGAACTAAAAGTGACGTGACGAAAAGGGGTATAACCTGTGTTATATAGATATTTATAAACATGTAAGTAATTTAAAATTTAAAAAGATCATAATTTAGACCAGGATAATTAATAGTTATCAGGCACTGCCTGATAACTGGTTTATTTGGTCAAAGATTTAAAATCAGACTAAGAAATTGAATTCCGAAGGAATTCAACTTCTTAGGCTGACTTTAAATCATTTGACCAAATAATTAAGTGCCCAATAACAATTTTATTATTCGGCAACTATGTAGTTTCTTCCGAATAATAAATTTATTGGGCAGACGAATCATAATAAGCTGCCGGATAATCTTCAGGGATCTGCAAATGTCCATGCTGGTACGAGGTTGCCTATGCTCATGGGAGCAAAAGTTCTGAGCATTTTGTAGGCACGCATGTAAAGTTTCAGGCGCCTTTAGGCCAGCACCTTGTGCCCTGGTAAATTTAACAAGGTCTTTATACTTAATATATGCCCTGGAACTAGCTCTATAGGATTGATTACATTTGGACAGACTCTTTTAATATCTAATTCCTTCTATCCTACAACCTTTGTGCCCGCGCCTACAAAGTGCCCAAGTGCCCAACAACTTTATTCCAAATGGTTTGCATCTGCGCCCATGCTCTCACAGATCCCTAATAATCTTACCTCTAAAGACCAAAGAAGACTAGCAAATATCAATAGAGCAAAACAATTGTTTTGTTCTTCTTTCTTAAAGAAATTTGCATTTAAAAAGAATATAAAAGCGGCAATGCAAACTATCAATAAAAAAATACTTCTCCAAAAAGTGTTAGGCACGGTTACCGTACCAAAAGGTGTTTTAATATTCGCTGGAGTTTCAGCTAATTGCTCTACTGCCACTGGTGCTTTCACACCTACAGCATGAGACTTTCTTTCTAGGCCGATAATATCTCTCCAAATAGTATTCCTTTCCCAGACTATAAATTCCCTCAAATGAGTCTTGAGTTCACGCATTGCAGCATCCATGTCAGCGCTGGTACATAAATGGGAATAAATTTCTTGCACTTTCACAATGTGATCTTCAAGATTTTTAACAGTTGAAGCTTTAAACGGATACGCGTCATTCACCACATTGCTTAAATAGGAAACCTTAAGATTATTACTGGTAACTTTATCATATTTTTTTAAAATTTTCGAAAATCCTGTTTTGTTTAGAGAAGCAAATGATTTGAGTTCAGACAACCAAACGAAAAGCTCAATGGTACGTTTCTTTAAGTGTATCCTTCGCTCTTCGATGGATGGTGGCCCCCACATATATGTTGGACGCCCATCAAATATATTAATAGCTGAATAATTATAATTTTCATCATCATCACTGCTAATATATGAATTAGCAGCATCTGAAGCCGACCTGCTTCTTCTATAAGAATGAGAATTACGACCTTGACTAAATGCACTCTCAGATGATTGATAAGAATGTCCTGTAACCAGTGAGTTACTATGAACACTCATAGAATCATTAAGGTTTTCGAATATGGCGAAATCATGAATAAGACTCGTAACTTCATCAAAAAGCTCTTTTTCTTTACTGATATAAAATGTACTGATCTTTGCAAGTTCTTTATCAAGTGCAGGTATGAATATCGAATTCGTGCGAGACTTTGAATCTAATAACGGGGTCACTTCAACTACCTCAACATCTTCTGGAACGATAGATACCGATATTGTTTCTCTTTCAATCTGATAAACGAGTTTCTTAAGATTTGAATATCTTAATAAAAAAAAAAAAAAAAAAACAGTTAAGGTGCTTTTAAAAATGGTAACTTAATTTTTTTGGATAAATCAAAAATTCTTTTATAGCAAAAACTTATTATAGTCTTTAAAATAAAGGATACGCAATATAGTGTTCAGCCCAGTCTGGTACAGAGTTAAACTGAAGTGAATGAGAGAACTTCATATTCGAGATTTTTCAAGAGAGATAATACGTGGGTAAAGATTTAAAAATTGCAGTTGATTTTTAATTCAACCGGATGAATCGGGATTAGGCCAAATCAGTAACTTTTTAATAATAAGGGGGCATCCACATTTAGTGTTAAATTCTAGGGTGGTCCAAGTTATTTGATAAAAAAAAAATAA